GTCTGTGTCCTCTCTAGGTTTATTAATCATGTCTTGCACTATGGGCACAATCTCTGCTGTTATCTGAGAAATTATTTCTGATTTCATTTTTTCCAAATCCTCTTTCATTGCCAGTTCAGGTAATCCTGGTGGTTGAGTATCAGTTCATTCTATCTCATTGCCCTTTGGGGTTGCCTTAGCAGTCTGGCTTTGAGAGTTGTTTACATGTCATCTTATTTCAACAGATGCAGCCTGTGTCTCTCTTTACATGTCTCTCATTTCAATGGGGGGAGAGGGGTCAGTGCTCCTGATACCTGCATGGCTCACCTCCTGGGCACTGGGGTTGGTGGTATGGCAGCCTGGAAGGTTCACCTCCTTTGCACTTGGGGAAGCTCTGGTCCTTGGTTCTCAGGGAGGTGGTAAGGTGGCCCGAAGTTTCACCTCCTCTGTGCTGGTGGCAGCTCTCCTCCTCCAGATGTTTATTTAAAAACTAAGTAAAGAAAGTAGGAAAATTAAGGAAGAATGGAGGAAAGTATGAAAAAGGGTTAAGTGAAGGGAGCTGGCAAAAGAGTGGGAGAAGGAAGAAGAAAGGAATAGGAAGAGGGAGCAGTAGGTGGAAGGCAGCAATGAAACAGCCAAGGTCTTGTAGGGAAATAGGATATTTACAAATGACCCTGTCTCCCCCTCCCCTTGAGAATTCAAACCTTGAACAAACATCTGTATGGGGACTTGCTGCACCTGTGGGCTCCTAAAGGGCATTGAAAGCCCTCCTCCCCTGGCCATCTGTTTTTGGAACTTTAGATTTTGAATAATGAGCCTTGCTGGAGAATGCAAATTTGTACAATAAACCCTTTGCAGTAGTTTTCTTGTTGTCATGCTTTCAAATCCCAAAGAGCCAAACTAATATATTTCCCAGTCATTATGTACCTAAAACGTGAGATGTCATTACTGCATGTTCATGTTCATAGCTGGCAGATACATAGTTTCTTTGTGTCAGATTTGTAAAACTACATGACTTTATGATCTGGACTTTCTGGACCCCACCCCTCATTGAATATTCAAAATGGAGTATCAATCCTCCCCCCAAAATTAAAAGAATCATCCAACAGCATTATATGTGCACCCATATTTATAGCGGCACAGTTTGTAATAACTGAAGCTTAGAAACAGCCCAATTGTTCATCAACTGGAGACTGGATAAAGATGTGTATTTTTTTAAAATAAAATGAAGTACTACTCAGCCATAAAGAACGAGAAACTAGAAACATTTAGAGCTAAATGGATACTCATTGAGAGCATACTCTTAATTGAAATAAATAGGACACACATGTGTCAATACCGTATAGTTTCTCTGGCGTTAGAAACAAAAAGTGTAAATAAGGATCAAAATGTATGAAACAGGAAGGAAAGATCTAAAGGGTTAGGGGAAGTGGGAAGGGTAGGGGAAAGGAAAGAAAGTAAAGGAAAAAATATTGGAAAAGAAATAAATTGGAAAAAAATCTTTGTAAATAGGGAGGGGTGGAGGAGTTGAAGGGAGGGCAGGGGAATGGGGAAAAATAACAAACAAGATATATCATGTACAGGTACAAATTCCCAATGATGAATAGTATCATGTTGTATACATAAAATATATCAATAAACTTAATAAAAAAAATAGCAACAAAATGAGATATTTTTCAATTAGGGCAACTTAATGCTTCCACTTTAGCCCATATGACAGAATTTAAGTATCCCTTGTCTTTGGGAACCTAGACATATCTACGAAAGCATGGGTAGCCAATGTTTCTCTTCTTTCTACAGAGTTTGATTATCCCCATCTAAAATACCAACCTTAACTTCCACCTAAGGTTCAGGTTCTGCACATCCTGTTAATTTGACTGCGAAAATGTGTAACCATTATACTTGGAGCACTTACTAATATTTGCCTTTGATTGAATTGTCTTTGCCAACTTACTCCAAACTCAAGAGCAACATATGATATTGATCTTCTTGGATCGGTTTCTCCTACAAAGCGCAGCTCAGATCTCTGTACAGAGTGGAGTTTGAACACTTGCTGTGTTTACATTCTGTTACTGATCATGTTGATTGTTGAATTTATAGGCTCTGATATTTACTGTCATTTATATTTCTGGGATAACAATGTATTTATTTCTGGACACCATAGGTAAAGTTTGTGTAAACTTTTAACTCTTCAGCTTTGTAACAACTCTACACAATGAGTGAAAATGCTTTATCTTTTTATCAATTAGCTTATTTCCTTGCAAATATGACTTCTTTTTCCTTCAAAAATGTTATGCAATGGTAAATAATAAATACTGTGCAACACTGACTTAAAGACTTCCTGCCTTTTCATGCTGGTAGAAATTGAAGGCAGACTGGAGAAACTCTGTTTGCAAAAAGGGAAGGCATGTCTCCATTTGCTGCAGGTCATGAAAATTCATGAGGTGAAAAATTTCCACGAGATGTTTATTTAAGAGAAATATATGGTGGCTAATTTCAAGCAAATGAAAGAAGAATGTTGCCATTTTATAGGCCTTGTAAATGAGAAAATGCCCTTTAATTTGAGGGTTGAACTTTAGCCATACTAGTTTAGAGGCAGGAAATAGCAGATCAGAGAAGTTCTTGGTCCATAAAGTGAGGCTGGGGGTTGTGTCTCAGCATAGTTTCTAAGAGAAGGCTTTACATATCCTCAAGTTCATTTTTTTTTCCTTTCTGAGTACAGGAAAGCAGCTGTTGCAGGGAGAAATGCCTTACTGGAAGAGCATGGACCAGCACCTTGACCTATGGAGACCTGACTCAGTGGCCCTATCCCACCTGACATAAGGCAGTGTCCCTGAAGGTGCATAGTGTTTCCAGGTATTCACAAACATTTATCATTTGAGGGGCAGCTGGTAAGACTGGACCTGGCTCAAGCTGGTGGACAGCACTTGAAGTCTAGAATGTCTTCTCCAGCCTGATATTCTAAGGGCTTAGCATTTGCCATTTAATTTATGGAGTACATGTTGAATGGCTGGATGGTTGTGTGTCTTGATGCCTACTTCATTATCTTGATGTGATATATGCACACCCACGTTTATAGTGACACAGTTTGTAATAGCTAAAACTTGAAAACAGCCCAATTGCCCATCAATGGGAAGCTGGATGAAGAAAATGTGGGTTTTTTAATAAAATGGAGTACTACTCAGCCATAAAGAGTGAGAAACTAGAGACATTTATAGCTAAGTGGATGCACATTGAGGCCATACTCTTAAGTGAAATAAATAGGACACACATGTGTAAATACTGAACAGTTCTCCGGTGCAAAAAAGTAAAAGTGTAAACAAGGATCAAAATGTATAACTGATATTGTGAAATAGGAAGAAAATGTCTAAAGGAATAGGGGAAATGGGAGGGGAAGGAGAAAGGAAAGAAGGGAAAAGAAAAAATATGAGAAAAGGAAAAACAGAAAGAAAGTCTTTGTAAATAAGGAAGGGTGGAGGGGCTGAAGAGAGGGCAGGGCAATGGGGAAAAAATAAAAACCAAAATATATTATATAAAGGTACAAGATCCCAATGAGGAATTTAACTGTATTGTATACCTAAAATATACCATTAAACTAAATGGAAAAAAAAATAAGTGCTTTTTAAAAATACTACACCCATATTAATCTTCATAATACTTTCCTCCCTGCTTTCCTTTTACTTGGAATGGCACTACATTCCTTAGCCTTTTGTTTACCTCCTTTGGGACAATCTTTCAAGCCCTATATTCAAATATTGCTTCTTGGCTAAAACCTTTGATTAATCTTATCTCTCCTCTCTCTGAAGACACATAACAGTATATATGGCCTATAATCAGCATAGGCAGGGGATGCTGTGGAGTAAACCACTCCAGAAGTAATTACAATTTTAGGTAGATTCCTCCAAGTCACTAATGGGTTTTGTTATGGCTTGTATCTAGATGTCCCCCTAAAGCCTCATGCAGTCAAATGGAGGGGAAGGCTTTCAGAGGTCGCTGGATCTAGAGTGTGTAGTGCTGGGATCAAGAGTGAGTAATTACTAAATCAATCCACTGTTTGGTTTAGCATAGTTCTGGCTAGGATTAAAGGTGTGATTGCTACACCCACCCTAGGGCAGATAACCTGCATAAAATATAAGGGGCAAAAAAAAGCTGTTATTGTCAGTAGTAGTGTGCTACCTTCTGGCTGCCATGAACTGTTTCTCCTCTGCAATGCCTCTCTCCCATGCCAACCTGCCTTGCAGTCATCCAACTATGAACTGAAACCTCTACAGACTGTGAGCCAGATAAATCTTTTTTTTAACACTTTATTGTGAAAATCTCAAATATACAGCAAAACTGAAAGGATTTTATGGTGCATACCCACATGTCCATTAACTAAATTTTGTCATTAACATTTTACATGTTTATCACATATCTATGCATCAATTTACCCATTTTCATCAACCCATGTGATTTTTTGAAGCATGTCTAAATAAATTGCACAACAACTATTAATCTTATTAAAATTAAAGAAAATTTTTTCTAAACACTAGCTTTTGAAATTCAAACTTTTGGTTTTCAGGATATCTCTAGAAGGGCCGGGGATTTAGCTCAGTGGTACCACTGCCTGCTTTATAAGCACAAGGTCCTGAGTTGGATCCTGGTATCAAAAAAAAAAAAAAAGATATCTCTAGAATTTAGAGAATCTGTTTTTTTTTTTTTCCTTAGATTCCTTTATTGGTACATTTTAGGTAAACAATGCATTTGCATTTATCATTGGGAACTTCTACCTTTATGTGATATATCTTGGTTCTTATTTTTTCCCCATTTCCTGTCCTCCCTTCACCCCCTCCACCCTTCCTTATTTACAAAGACTTTGTTTCCATTTTTTCCTTTTCTCATAATTTTTCCTTTCCCTGCTTTCCTTTCCTCTACCCTTTCCCCTTCCCCTACCCCTTTGGACTTTTTCTTTCTATTTCCCATTATCAGTTATTCATTTTAATCATTATTTACACTTTCAGTTTCTCACACCAGAGAAACTATTCAGTATTTACATATGTGAGTCCTATTTATTTCACTTAAGAGTATGACCTCAATATGCATCCATTTAGCTATTAATGTCTCTAGTTTCTCATTCTTTATGGATGAGTAGTACGCCATTTTATTAAAAAAAACCTCATCTTCTTTATCCAGTTTCCAGGTGATGGGCACTTTCCAGGCTTTTGCTATTGCAAACTGTGCCACTATAAACATGGGTGCACACATATCTCTGTGGTATGATTCTTTTAATTCTTTTGGGAAGGTACCCAGGGCAGATAAATATTTTCCTCCTTTAATTTTGGGTGTTGGGAATTTTGTCTCAGTAACCAGGAAAGTAACTAGGACAGGATTGAACCCCCCTTGCCCACAGTGGTAAACTGTTGGACAAAGGCTCTTATTAAAAGTGTCATTTTATTTTGGGTAAGCCTTTTCTCCTTCCTTGTTCTATTTTTCCTGTATCTCTAGTTGTATCACCTGAGGCCACTTGTATCCAATTCCTTGTTTCAGGGTATGTGTGCAAGAGAACCCAAAGAAAGACACCAAATGTTGAAATACTTAGAAAACCACAGAAAAGGCCCAGCATAGAGCTACACTAGTCATAGATACTAAAGTCAGGTGGAATAAATAAATAAATACGAGTAAACAACTTCCTATTTCAAAACTTGTGGGATTTTGGCTTGGTTTTGTCTCTTCTGAGGCTGTCAGATTATACTGAGCTCTGTGCTCCTATTGTGGATGCCTCAGAGTTACCATTTACCCCTAGTCTAATCCCATTGTACACCTAGGACTCCACCAACATCTTGTTTTCTGGCTGGGCCACCCATTCCCCAGCTTCTGTGTTGGCTGTCATACAAGCCCTTTCCCCAGAGAATTACTCTCAGCTAAGGGAGCTCCCTTATCAAGGGGAGCACTACAGGCCAATGATTGACTGACCCAGGGACACCAAGAGCAAGTCCCCTTACCTGAGAGGAGCTCTGCAGAGCCTTCCATATGGCAGAACTCCTGTGGAATCGGGGAGAAGCTAGAGTCCTGCTACACCCCGTCAGCTCATCCCCCACTGAGCATCGCCTTTCCCCACTCACTCTGCTTTCCTCTCTCTCCTTTGTCTGAGAGCCCGCCTTCAACATATCACATGACTCTGAATCCTCCTCTCATGCTCTGCTTACAGAGAACCAGATTTAAGATAGCTCATGATATCCATTCATGTTATCTGGCAGGCCTGTCCTTCAAGACCCCAATATGAGCTACTACTACATTTGTAACAATGCATGTATTCAACAATTTACAGAAATCTCACCTATATGCAATAATGTAAGATGTGCAGCTCATTATCTTCCTTTACATCTTCCCCATGAAAAGACTAAAAGTGGGGTTTGGCATCTCTTTTAGAAGCAGACAAAGTAGGTGTAGACTCTGTTTGGTTCACAGAATGAGTTTATGTAGCATTTCTCTAAAAAGAATAAATCAGATTTCTTGAGGGAGAAAAAGCATGCCTTTTCTCTGTTTCTTGCCACTGAAACATTATGTACAATGATATTTAATATAGCTCAACTAATAATTTACAAGAGGGCACTTTGAGGTTAGAATATTTTAGCTGCCCTGTTGCCTTTGCAATTGAAGTGAATAGAACAGCAAGAAAGACCAAAAACACAACCTTATACATCCCCCAGGGCCTTGTTTAATGGAGTGTACACAATCAAATTTCAACAAGCCATGGTTAGATTATCTATGCCAGGGCTTCTCAGACTCTAATGTCTGTGTGTGTCACCTGGGGATCTTGCTTGTGTATATTCTCATTAAGGTGGACTAGGATCATGCCTGAGATTCTACATATCTGAAAATCTCCAATAAGATGATGATGTTAACTGTCCGAAGATCACCTTTTATACACTGTGCGTAGTGGATAATGTAACAATAGTACTTCTCAAGCTCTTCTAAAATGCAGAAACACAGGAAACACTTCCCAGCTCATTAGATGTATGCAGTATTGCTCTGATGGCAACAAAGGCTCTACAAGAAAAAACAAAAGCAAAAACTAAACAAAAGTTACACATCAATAACTCTTTGAAGAGAGATATGAAAATCCTCAACAAAAAGTAGCAAAAACAATCCAGCAACAAAAGGAATTGTAAAAATAGGGCATTCCTAAAATTTAGCAACAAATTAATCCACAACACAGTAAAATGCCCTGAAATACTAGCTCAGAACCACTGTACTTCACGTTGGTAGATTTAGTAAATAAAAATGTAGCGTGCTCAGTGAAACTTGAACTTCACCAAACAATATGCAAATATAAACACACATAATATTTACAAACTTAAATTAAAAATTATTATTCATTGTTGTTGTTTTTTGAAATTCAAGCTTAGCTGACTCTTCCTCAAAGGCTAAATGATCATGAATGATAAACATTTGGAATCAATTCAAGATATCCAGGCAAACTCTGACAGAAAAACAGACATTGCAGAAAGAGGACTTCCAGCACTGGGATCCATATGTTCGAAGCAAGGGAAAGTTTTTTGGGGGCAGATTAGTGGCAAAGTCTTCTTTTATTGTAATATAGTTTTTAAAAATTGAAATATTTTGATATCACCTTGTACTAGGTTAATGTCCACTGCTTAGCATAATAGGAGAGGCTAACAGGCATTAATTGAGTGGACAAATGAATGGGTGAATAGATAAATGAATCAGCAAATGGTCATTTAGAATCTGTAATTTTCTGTTTAGGACACTGCTTTTAGGTAAATGTTGGCATTTATACTATTTTATAAGATCTGCAACATCATCCTATGTCCTTGGACCCTACAGGGTCATTTGGGCTGGGTGGCACAGGCACA